TTCATTTTCTTTCTGACTCAGGGCAAGTTATTTCTTCCAGTGACTCACTTGCTCTAGCTGCCCAGGATAGCTCGTCACCTTTATCATCCTCTTCATCGCAATGTCTTATTTATCATGTGGTTAGTGGTTAAGTGCTTCAGCTCTGAAGACAGACTCTGGGAGTTCCTGTCTGGTTTCTTCCCTTTTCCAGCAGCCTCACCCTGGGCAAGTGACCTCACTTCTCTAAAAGCCTCAGTTTTCTCATCTCTGTGACTGGAATAATTAAATTATGTTGTGTTAGGACTGATGAAGATGGCCATAGAATGCTTGGCATGGTGTCCGACACATAGCGGCACTTTTGCCATCATCATTTGTATTAAATAATTATCTGCATGGAAGTTATTCCTTAATGACTCACAGATGGGCCCTGATAAGGGAGCAAACACATCAAATTTCTGTTCTCTAGAAGCATATACTAGGAGAAACATAATCATTGGCAAGGTACCTAACTAATCTTCATGTTCAGCATTCAGCAGCAACTAGTCTACTTACATTGAGAACACAAAGCCAAAGAACTAAGATGCTCCAGTGTGGCCAGATTCTGGGGTACTTAAGCTAAGCAGGAGAGACAGACTTAGCTTAGGCTGGGTTGTCGAGAGGATGCATTCTCTGCTTTGTTCTTCCTTAAGAGCATTATTAAAGTGACCCTTATTCTGTTGAGTTGATCCTGGAGATTCAGGTTCTATCCTGGCACTAGAGCTCTTGAGAGAAAAGAAACATATATCTGAAAACATATTCATCTGAGATAACTGTTAATAAGACAAAACTACAGAGACCTTCTGTTAAGGGACATTGCTTTGTACTTCCAGCTTCAGTCCCATGCTAGCAGGCAACTGTGAGATCTATAGAAGAAAGATTGCCCAGGGCAGGCAAACCATTTCTAACAGGTGAATTGGATGACCTTTGTCTCTACCAGCATAGAATCATAATGCCACCCACTGAAGTGGCTTAGTAGTTATGTTCATTTGCTACTACCTGGGTAGGTGTTTTATTCAGCTTTTTTTTGCTGCTGTGACTAAAAGACCTGACAAGAACAATTAGAAGAGAAAAAGTTCATTTGAGGGCGCATAGTTTCAGAGATCTTAGTCCACAGACAGCCAGCTCCATTCCTTGGGGCTTGAGGTGAGGAAGAACATCATGGCGGAAGATTTGTGGCAGGGAGAAGCAGCTCACATGATGATCAGAAAGCAGAAAGAGAGAGAGACTCCACTTGCCAGATACAAAACATATACTCTAAAGGCATGCCTCCAATGACCCACCTCCTCCAGCCACACCCTACCTCTTAGTTAATCCCCATCAGGAGATTAATCCACTGATTGGGTTAAGGCTCGCATAATTTGATCCTTTTTCCTCTAATCCTTCTTGCATCGTCTCACACAGGAGATTTTGGGGGACACCTTACATCCAAACCATAACAGTAGCAAAGTGGATCGGAACAATCACTGTAGAGACAAGCTAGAATAGTATATCACTCATCAGCTCTGTGTCATTGGACAAACTATGGAAGCTTTCTGGCCTCAGGTTCCATATCTGTAAAATAGGATCAACACTAGACCTAATCTATATGGTGTTGTAAGGATTAGACGTTGTCATGTGTGGCTCTTGGTAAGTGCTCAGTAAACAAGTCCATTCCTGCTTGGTGCTCTTACCTTGCCACCACTTGGCCTCTGAGATGGAGGCTGCTCCCCACCCTGGGCCTTCCTGTTTGGGCCATGAAGTCACAGAGTCCTGGCAAGTATGGTTTGTTAGCCTCGTTTGAAAACTCATTCTCTTTGGCTCATTTATCCAAACCAGACAGAGATTAATAACATAGCCTCAGAGAATTGGGCAGCGCATGTTTCTGGCGCCTTCGGCTCATTGATCATGCCTCCCCAATTCAGGGAATGCTTGGGTGTTCCAGGCAGGGTCTCCTGAGACCCAGGAAACATTGAAGGAAAGTAATTTGGCATGAACTCACCTCCTAATTAAGGAGGGCTAAAAGCCCTGCAGTTTACTATTCCTTGTGGATTTTGCTGTTTATAAATAGAAGCAAATTTCTCTGGCATAAAATGTTTGAATTTAATGGAAGAAATAACAGTGATCAAGGATGACTCTAAAAACATCCTTGCCAAATTATGGTCTTTTCCCTTACATTTCCCTTATCCAACTTTCCTAGGTATTTAATGGCAATCATCATAGGTCACTGCTCTTAGCTATGACCTAGCTACCTATTTCACTCACAGGTCAAAAGGCCCTGTAAGGATCTGCTTGCTGCCCCTTTGACTTGTCCTTCTCTGCCTTGCACTGATCCCCAATAATATTGGCCTTTCTCCCTCTAGAAGACCATGCCTTTCCCATTTCAGAAACCTTCTGGGCTCTGGTCCCTAAGTGTTCCCAGAGAGATCTCTTCTCATCATTTAGGTCTCATGCAAATATTACTCCTTTAGAGAAGCTTTTCCCTGTATCAGGCCCATAGCACCTTCTTTATCTTTATTGTACTTACAGTTATTTGAAGAAATCATTTTTGTGCATTTGTTTATTTCTGTTTTTTTTTTTTCACTAATGGAAATGTTCCCTGAAGAGCAGAGACCATAGCTGTCTTGTTCTTCTGTATTTTCAGCATATAAATTGCCTGTCCATTATAGGCACTCAATAAATAATTTGTTCAATGTATGCACATAAACAAATGAATTGCAAGTAACTTTAGGAGTTACCATTCAAGAGGTATCCAAGCTTTTCAAAGTCACTATCCCCTTGTTTGATACCCCCGTGAGTAAAACCGAGAGCAGCAAAGGGAGGGGACATTTGGTTGCTGGCGTCTTAGCTTCTCTCCCAGCCCCTGTGGCAGTCCCTGTGCAGGTGCTCTGGAACACCACTTGAAAACCATATTCTAGTCCAAGTTCTTCAAATTTGCAGATGATGGGGCTGGGATTGTGCTCAGCGGTAGAGCGCTTGCCTAGCACAGGCGGGACCTGGGTTCGATCCTCAGCACCACATAAAAATAAAGGCATTGTGTTGTGTCCATCTACACCTAAAAAATAAATATTAAAAAAAAAATTTGCAGATGATGGAGATGCTGCTGAGGGGAATGGGCAATTGTGTGCCCTCTGTTACAGAGTGTTATTAATGTAACCTCCCTGTCAGCTTCAACCTGAATTTTGTAGTGATTTTTGTTCTTTCCCCAAATTCTGTGATGGCTAAGCATAGCCAGAAGCACTTGAATGTGTTTTGTGCTGTTTTGGTATATTTCTATTCCACAGTCTTATTTGATGTTTACGGCATCTCTGGGATAGATAGGCAGAACATCTAGCATTTCCTCATTCTGTAGGTGGAGAAATTGAAGTTCAGCCAAATGAAGTAACTAGTGGTAAAATCCAGGCCAAATCGAAGTCTTTTGACTCCTCATCTTTAGAACTTTTCAGTGCATGCCCTGCTTCCTGTTTTTTCACCAGGCCATCCTCCTTCAGCCCAGAAACCCCTTCTGTCTCTCCTCCTCCTTTTGACCTTCATAAGTGGCAGTGCAGCTCTGGTCTTCTGAAGAAATTGAACATAATAATTACAGAGTTGTTGGAAGTTTGGGAGGGCTTAATGGTTCTCTTTTCAGAGTTGCATAGTTCGGTTTCTTTGGGGATTAAAGTGGTTTTCAGCTGAGAGTGGCCATCAGAAACACATGGGGGTGGATAGATAGATGCTTTTAAGTTATGGCAAAAAGCTTTACCTTATGCCTTTCCATACTGCAAAACCTTAATTAAACAAGGATTTGGCACTAGGATTTCTTTTTTCTTAATACTTTTATTTCTTTATTTTTAATATAGTGCTGAGGATCAAACCCAGAGCCTCACACCTGCTAGGCAAGCACTCTACCACTGAGCCACAACCCAGCCCTATATTTTTCTTAATCAGAAGATCCATCTTATTTAATAATGAGAGCATATCAGGGATAAGCCACCTCTTGCCCACAGACCAAGCCACCTATCCCTTGCTTTTATAGAGCCCATGAGCCGTGTATGGTATTTACAGATGGACATTTTGCAATTTATTAATGATACTAACTTTGAACCTCAAGTAAGTGAACTGCTACCCTTCCTCTAAATGAACCAAAATTGCATTCTTTTCATTAGTAGACTTGCATTTTAAAAGTTATATCAATTCTTATATTTTGAATTTTGTCAAAAATTTTGTAAAAATTTCCTTCTTGTTATATAAGTATGTACATAATATTGATTTTGCGTCTTGCCTCTCAGAGCCTGAAATATTTATAATCTGGCCTTGTACAGAAAAGGTTGCTGACACTTGCAGCATGTCATTGTCTATTTTATATTGAAGCACTTTTCTGCTTACTCTATTGGTCCACTTTATGATTTCTACAAATCATTTAAGGGTTTTTATTATAGCTATCATATGTTCTCCTTATAATATTGATATTTACAAAAGAATACAGAGTAAGAAGTGGCTGGTTCCATTCCCCAGTGTTAACACTCAACAGTTTGTAATGTACCTTTGCTACTAATTAGCTGTGGGACCTTAACTAACCTTTGTATGCCTCAGATTCTCCAACTGTAAAACAGTTGATAATAACCCCTTCTACAAAGAAGAATTGTGTAGGTTATAGGCAATAATTTGTGTGAATTACTTAGCATATGGCTGGTGCATTGTTAATGCTTAATGATTTGTAACTAATCTTAGAATTATTTATATGTACAAATAAGTTTACTTGATTTTTTTAAAAAGATGGATTATGAGGGTTTTTTGTTTTGTTTTGTTTTTTACAATAAAGTTCTACAGGTGACTCCAGTTCATGCACATTTAAGCTAAAGTGCATACTGGGAAGTAGATGGTTATTGAAAGGATTTGTATTTGGGCCAGAAATTGCCTTCTATCTTATGGTATATAGTAGGAGAAGCGGGGAGGTAATGGATTTCTAAGTGAACGTTTAGGGGTATAAAATGCACACAAGTGAGTTTTTTCCCCCTCTTTTCCAGGTCTACAACTCCAACAAAGACAGTCAGAGCGAAGGGAGTAAGTATGATGCTTGGGTTATTTTCTGCCCCCTGGGCTGGGAGTGGGCTTTGAGAAGTTGCTGCTGTGTGAGGAATGAACCACCAGGAGGTGCTGTGGGCATGATGGGTCAGCTTCATTTCCTGAGTGTCCTGTGAGATCTTTCCACATCACTGACTTCATAGGGCCCTTTACTGAGCCTGACTGGTAAGACTGTAATGACACCTTGCATTTAAATAACCCTTCACACTTGACATAGTGTTCTCATGAACGTTATGTCACTCAATCCTACGTCTTCTTAACACTGCTCCACTGCTAATATCACATACCCCAAAAACCATATGCTGGGTGGAAGCCGAAGTCACCCTTGACTTCTGCTTAATCTGCCCAAAGGCCTGGAGAGAAAAGAGTAGAGATGGTGAATATAATATGTTCCTCTTTGATGGAGTGCCCTTGGGCATATTTATAGAATGCATTTTCCCTGTTGGAGGCTCTGAGCAATCTGGCTAATCATGATTTCCAAGGCCACCTGTAACCTTGTAAAGGCGCTTGGATTAGAATGAAACTCCTACTGGTAAAGTGTTTGGACTGATTATCTCCTTGGTGCACAGGAGAAAAAACAAATTCCTTCCAGGTTGCTGCAAGAGTTCAAAGGAAATCCTGTCCCCTGGCTTCAGATTTGCTTTGTAAAATCTGCTTGGGGGGAAAAAAATTCAAAGGTGGCCCTACCATGGATTTCAATAGTGTCAGGAAAATTAATAGAACAGCGCCTCTCCAGGTGGAGAAAAGATGGTCTTCCTTTTTTTTTTCTTTCTTTAGAGGGGAGTGGGTGGTAAAAGTCATTATGGGATAAAAAGAAGGTTTTCTTCCTTCCATTCTCTCTGAAATAAAACCAGGAGTTTTATACAGTATAAAATACTAAGTAATGGGGAATGGCTGATATTGATATATTAGAGGTCTTTATGACAGGAAAAAAATGTGTGTTTTTTTTCCCCCCTTTGCGTCAAAAATTGAACAAAGGCAAAATTTTAAGTAAACAATCAAGGAAACAAAGAATCCCCGTTTCTGGATTGGGTAGGTTTGTTTTGGAGCATCTGAGGTCAACTCTGGCTAACTTAGGCAAAAATAGCTGTTCAACAGGAAAGAAATACAGAAGGCTGCAGCATCACTCACTGTGAGGTAAAGAGCTGAAGACATAGCCTTGAAAAAAGACCAGCTCTAGGGACCTGGGAGCCGGAAACCAATGGGAAAGGGTCTTCTGCATCATATTTGCAGAATGATAAAGCTCTGAACTGTAGTTGCCTCATTCTTGTGAAAATTTAGAATCCCAGGAAAGAGGCAAGTTGGTCATGCTTGGGCCCATCCAGAGAAAAGGGCACACCCTGATGGATAGTTTCGAGTGTACATGAAGTGGGAGTGGGGTAGTATCCCAAAGGGAAATTAAGGAAGCCACCAGGATGGAATGGTGCCGGGTGGAGCTCACAGATGCCTGCCGGGTGAGGTGCATGTGAATGGAGACCTCTGGCCAGATATTCACTTACTTGTGTAACTTTTAACTTTGTGAACTTGCTTCTCTCTGCTTAAGTGCCAAAGATTGCCAAGAGTCTCTTGAAGGGTATGCCAGACCTATATACACATTCTGTCATTTCTATAATACATTTTGGTAATATGTTTGGGAAAGCTTTTAAAAGTGATTATTCTTTGACTCAACAATTTGTTCTAAAAAAGCAAGAGATGTTTATGCAGCAGAGAAGTTCACTGGAGCATTGGTAATAATAGGGAAGAATTAGAATCTAAATGTGTCGTACAGGGAGTTAGTTAAATAAATCATAGAGTAGTATGCAGCCTTTAAAAAGAACAAAGGAGGTCTTGATGTATTGGCAGAAATGGTGCCCACAGTATATTGTTAATTGAGCTTTAAAAAATTAGGCAATGGAATAATGCACATAGTAAAAGAAATTATTTGACATAGGTAGTCGATAGAAATAAGTTTGGAAGTACATGTATTTTCAAACTTAATCAGGGTAGAGGTTGGACTATCGGGAGACATCCACTTTCTATGTTAACTATTTCTCTATAGTATGTATTATTTTCAGTTAACCTGTACTTTTTAGTAATAGCTATTAAAACAGCATTAAGTGAGCATTTACTGTGTGTCAAGCCCTGGAGATGTGTTACATACATTAACTCCCTGTAATACCCTGAGAGATAGATACCTTCTTTGAGGATGAGTAAATTGAGACTGGAAAGCTCAGGGAACACAATTTTATCAAAATTTTGCCTGACTCCAAAGGTTCTATTATTAGAAACAAGGATATTCTTTCTAAAAAATAATACCAAAAGTTCCATTTTAGAAAACATAGACACTTTGCTTCCGTTGCCCTGTTATTCACAGACTGATGACAGGGTGTCCATTGACCCCCATGGGTGTTTAATTGCTTGCTTACCCTTTCATCTTGCAAGCAGAAGAGATAAGGACAGGGTAAAAAATTCTGGCTGCTTTTTCAGGAGTAGTTTAGGTGTAGGACTTATGTTTCTAGGGTTTTATTATTTACCAATTTCCAGGATGACAAAACCAGAGTAGGATCTTGTGGGTTGGCGCTGCCTCACCTTTTTCAGCATTAGGGCCCATCTTCCCCATCATGCAACGACTTTCCCTCCCTCTCCCCTGACCTTGTACTTGCACTCTCTCTTCATTGTGGTAATTTGCATTTTCACCCCATGCTCACCCACAGCTCATTTGTCACAATTTTGATAAAATTGTGTTCCCTGATAGTGTTTAGTGTTTTAATAGCACTATTGCCCAGGGTTGTTCTGCAACCCTCTTTCTGTTTGTGCCACAATCTAAACTTTTTTAAAAGTAAGAAGTCAATTCGCTATGAATTAAAGAGTAGGGCATGGCTATTCTCACCAAATTCCTAATGTCTGGCATCTAAATCCCAGATGTCTAGCATTTTGTTTTCTAGAAAATGTTTTGGAGGGAGTTTGAATGAAAACATTTTATCACAGAGCCAGAATGTTTTGAAGGAGCAAATAGCAAAGGAAAACTCCCTTGGGGACACTTCGGAATCTGTTGCTTTCATCTTGAAGTTTCTCCCAGGGCATACTTTGCCTGTGGGTATAAGACAGGGCCTTAAGTAATGTTTGTCAGCTGCTGGTATTTTTGAAGTGGTCCGGTTGCCAGGAGGAGGGTGTTTGCAGATAAACACATGCTCATTTCTCTACAAAGCCTTTTTCTTGTGCTCTTTCCCTCTCTGTTCTGTTGGGTCTCGGGTGTAGAGGGTTAACCATACTCATATATTCATGGTACATCATTGACACGGAGCCCTGGATTCACTCATTCTTTGTTTCATGTCACTTTATTTTACTTATTTATTTGTTCCTTTTTAATTGTTTTCCTTATTCATATTCCTTTTCTCTTCTATAAGCCACAATCTTCAGATGCATTCTTGGAAAATGTGTGCCTTTCTCTGTGTTAAGTTTTGTAAATGGTGGTGTCTCAGTCTGATCTTTGTCCATCAGCATTGTGTTGGGAAGGTATTCACTGAGCTCCTTTAGACTGGCTTCTGGTGACTGCCTACTCCAGGGTGTATCTCTTTTTGCAGAGATGTGCTCCATCTCCTTACACCTTGAATTCCTCATCACCACAAGGAACACCTCTGTACGTGTCCTGTATAAGGTTTCTTTGGGTTGTCCTCACCAGGGGAATTGTTGGTCAAGTTGTGGGTCTGTGCAGAGACTTAGTCTCAGTGCTCTCCTTGCTCCTAGAGCTGCTGCCCACAGTCCCATCCACCCTGTATTCTAGTGTCTCCATTCCCGCCAGCTCTCACTGTTAATCAGCCTTCTAATTTTTTTGCTAGTCTGCAAGATATACAATCATAGTTCATTGTTGTTTCAGTTTGCATTTCTCTGATAATTGATGATAATTGATTCATATTCCCATTAGTTCTCTGGGTTTTCTCTTCTATTAATTGCCTAAACATGTCCCCTGCTCATTTTCTGATATAAGTTTCTCTTATGGTTTAGATATGAGGTGTCCCCCAAAAGCTCATGTGTGTGACAACACAAGGATTTTCAGAGGTGAAATGATTAGATTATGAGAGTTAGAACCTAACCCACTGGATTAATCCACTGGTATGAAGTGACTAGGTGGTTACCGTAGTAAGATAGGTCTGAAGGAAGTAGGTTCCTGGAGGTGTGCCTTTGGTGTTCATATTTTGTTCTAGGTGAGCAGAGCTCTCTCACTTTCCTAGTTGCCATGTCCTGAGCTGCTTTCCTCCACTCTGCCCATCTGTCATGCTTCACCTAGGGCCCAGAGCTATGGAGTCAGCCATCTATGAATTGAGACCTCTGAAACTGTGAACCAAAATAAACTCTTCCTTCTCTATATTGTTTTTGCCCGGTATTTTGGTCACAGCAACTACAATAAAAAACTAACAACAGCAACAAAAGCAGTTGCTGTTTTTCTCTTGTTGATTTATAAAGTCTCTTATATTTATTTTTTAATTTTTGAAATAATAATATTGTTATTATTATTATTATTATTATTATTATTATTATTATTATTATTCCTTTGATAGTTGTAGATGGACAGAATGCCTTTATTTGTATATTTTTATGTGGTGCTAAGGATCAAACTCAGTGCCTCATACATGCTAGGCAAGTGTTCTAACACTGAGCTACAACCTCAGCCCCAAAGTCCCTTATATGTAGATATTAATTCCTTGTTAATTTTTGTTCCCATTTTATCAACTGTCTAATATTATTACATGTGCTGTCCTTCCTTGACTATAAGGCTATATGTTTTATATTTACAAACTATGTTTGAAAAAATGTGCCTTCTCGTTTATGATTTTTAAATTGTATTTTGAAGAAGACCTTTTTGACTCATGTTACAAAAATATGCACACACATTTTTTAAAGGTGTCTTCACGTCTAGGCTTCAAATCCAGCTGATATGTGGATCCACCATCATCTGTGATGTTTCATGAAGATTTAGTCTTATTATTATCCATTTGAGG